CATACCAAAAATCAGCTCAATATCTGCAAGCGTTTAGGAAAAAAGTGCTGAAAACCAAATGGGACAGACTGACAGACAGACAGAGGGACAGACGGGCGGACAGACAGACAGACAGACAGACGGACGGACAGACTCAGAGGAAACCTATAGTCCCCTCCGGTTTCACCGGTAGGGGACTAATAACAGTATTACATGTAAGTAGGGCCCCTTTATGTGTGTACCCTAGAGTTATCAATCTGTTCCACCGTCCATTTGTCCGTCCGATATCAATTGTCCAGATTATGGTTTCTCTTTCCTTGATCCATGCTTCACCAATAGTGTGTTCATGCATAATGGGTTTGCAGTAATCCTGAATCAAATTTCTACATCCAAGGTCAAGTTTAAAAACACCTCTGTTTAAAATCTAAGTCCAGAGCTTACTAAAGTATTTCTACCTCCCTTTCCCACGTCTTGCGCATACTTCAACCACAGAGGACCCGTTGGTAAAGGCTGTGCAGTGACCTGAAATAAAAGTTCAGGGTCAGAGCAACAGTTATATGAAATATGTGGAGATAACGAACAGTATTAGAGCTCAAAAGTCCATTAAACATTTCAAAATTAGAGCAGAGCAAACACGGACCTTTAAAACATCAGAGGTGGGATCAGGTGCCATGGAGGAGTGAGCATCCCCTGCCGACCGGTCACATCCGCCGTGTGCTCCTTGTAATGATCGGGAAATAACGAAAAAATCTGTCGACAATTCAGTGTGTAAATAATGGCCTAACAAAATGTATGAAAAAAGTCGGTCAGCATTTGACTTTATGATCGATTGTAGTTGCTGACAAGGTCATTGTATCGACCATAGAACTTACGAAATGATGACTTTAAACGAGACTGTTGATATTCTTGTTTCTTCAACTTGTTTGTCAGTAACTTACCTACCGTTCACGGTAGCTTCGTGATCGGGAAGTCGAGAGTTCGAATCTCGGCCGCGACTAACCTAAGTCGATAAAAAATGGGTAGTAACTGTTCCTCCGCCTTGCGCTCGGCACTTTGAAGTGAGAGTTGCGGGTCCTTCGGACGAGACCTATAAAACCGAGACCCCATGTCACCGCAGGCGTTGGTACGATAAAGATCCCTCACTGCTCAATGGCCCGGAGTGCCGAGTAAAGGTCAAAATTTGAAGCCCTTCACTGGTATATGGTGACGTCTCTATATGAGTGAAAAATTCTCGAATGGGACGTAAAACAACATATAATCAATCAATAATATAACTTACCTCGTTTATGAAATTGTTCGTACGTAGAGCATGCTCTGGCGTATCGAATCAACTGGGAGATGTAAACCCCGTATGCAGGTGATAAAGGTATATTGCTGCATAAGTAAGGGAAGTTGACGATTGAAAAGTTGAAGTCATCACGTTTATCATAAAGCTTGGTTGTTAGTATACCATTAACGTCTTTTTCTAATAAAATATCCAAATATGAAACAGATGTGTCAGACTCTGTGGTATCTTTTATCTCAAGCTCACCGGGATATATTGTGTCGACATTAGAAAGGAAATAACCACTGTTAATCGTCAATATTATCTAAATGTCGAGTTGAAGGCCACAGCAAGTGTTTAAAAGATTTTGAACAAATAGAACAAATACCCAAAGGCCAATCAAACAATACACATTATAAGCAAAGCAAACACGGACCTCTGAAAATGGAGGCGGTGGCCTTCACAGGAATGAGGAACCCCTGTCGACCGGTCAAACACGCTTTACGCCCTTTGCCATAATTTAGTAAACTGAAGAATTTATAGACAATTCAGTGTGAATGGCCTAAAACTTTGTATTTGACTTAGGTCCCAACGATTTATTGTATTTGCAAGGACCTTGTATCGACTAAAATTTACGAAATGATAACTTTAAGGAGATTACTGATATCCTTGGATCATCAACTTATCTGTCAGTACCCTGCCTCGTTTTAGAAATTGCTCGTAAAATATCTTCTTACGTACCAGTACAACTGGGTGACATTAACTCCATATGAAGGTGATAATAGTATATTGCTAAAATAGGGAAAATCACGATAGAAATGTTTAAGTCCTAACGTTCATTGTTAATTTTAGCTTCGCACGTAGATTGTTTATGGGTTAAGAGTGTGTAATGATCATGAACCAAGTTTGGAAGTCTTGGTCAAAGCAGATATCTGTGTAAAATCTTTGCTGTGAGTATGTTCTCTCTCCTCTTGACCCAATCTGGCTGATACATCAAACTTAGGATGTTCATTGACCCAAAACTGTAATATCGTAGCGCCTTTTATTGGGATCTTTCGGATACATCCGGAGTTCTCCGTGTCTCGGTAGGTGTTGACACGTTAAAGAACCCTCTCTGCTACGACTGTAAACGGCTTGGTCAAATTATATTCACTTTACTAAAGGAGTGATAAATTTACAAATGAGATGCAAAACAACATTGTACCGTACTTGTAAACCCAGCTTTTAAATAAAAAGTTTTTAATATAAAAAGAAAATGTAAATCAATAAAATTCATTAAAAAAATAATTAAATTTTAATTAAATTAAAAACTTTCAAAAAAATATTCATACTACCAAAAAAAAAAAAAAAAAAAAAAATCAGCGATTTAAGGAAACCTCTGGATTCAGTTACGGGTTAGAGAGTTAACGCATAGCGAATCCTAACTCTGCAGTAATTTTTAAAAACTGATGAAATTTAAAGAAGGCGATTATGAACTGAAAAGTACTTGATCTAACTTAAAACTTTTAATACACATTTCATCTAATATTTAAAAAAAAATAAAGAAATAAAATACATGTGTTTTATTAATTATTGTCAAAATTCCTTCGCAGGGGAACATGTACCAGATTTACAAATTTTAATCAATCAAAGCTCTCTTTTCTTTAATTCTCATGTTGCATTACTTTTCTTAACAAGTTTTATAAAAGAGATGTTTGGGAATTCTGAAAGGACTGAGTGGCCACTTCCGTAATGAACTTAGTTCCGATAATGCCACAGACCTCGCGTCCGCCCAGCCTTGCTAAAAAAGGATAACTGGCGTGAAATACAAAATTATAAATATTTTTTAGCACAATTATTTAAAAAAAAAATAGTATGATTCACGCTTAATTTTTTGGTATATGTATCGTAATGCACAATAATAAATCAATACCACTTAATTGCCGAATTTGTTACTGAGACTTAAAATACGATTGAATCAGCAAGTAGGTTTATCTTTGTATGATGCCTTGCCAGTGCGGCATTTTATACAAAAAACAATTATTTATTGCCAAATTGACATATCGGAATTACGTCCACTGACTCCCATGTACGTTTGACATTCTCCTGACGACAAAATATCATTGCATTTCTATATTTTGCATTTTAATATGTTCTGCATGACTTCAAATCCCTGCGGTACCTGATGCCTTAATTGGACATAATCGGCTATCATCACTACATTCTTTGTGTTGTACTCAACTAAGAGCAAAAGTAACCGTCTTCAAACGAATGCGGAGGCTCTGGATGCTGGTCCCGTTATCATTAAACGCCTCGGGAGATGTTTTCATGCCAAAAGAGCTACGCGCTAGAAAGGAGCTATATTTATACAGCAGGTGCGTTGGTGGAATATATTGAACAGGGATTTTAGTATTAAAAATTTCATTCATAACACTTGTGATTGACGGCATCTCAAACATCAGCATTAATCGATGTTGTGGAACGAAACGGGGGATCACACATTTACGATAAAAGGAAATTTTACGTTCACTACGCTAGCGCACCGACAGACCGGAAGTGGGTCGATTCAGATCAATTGACCACGTTTTGCTCCTCATCGAGCCCTAAGGACGAGTTTGCTTATATCCCGGCATGGAAGTCAGAAAAGCGTATCTCCAGAAATTGACGTCAATTCTCTGTTCAACGGAATATTATTCCATAAATATTTCTATATGGTAGTCTCAATCTAAAAAGAAATTTTAGCATCATTTCTTTTCACATATGATCCTCCACATTAAATAATTTTCCACACCTTCTTCGTTAACCCTTGATTTTGCTCGCTTGCTTTGCTTTTTAATGCTTTCTTGGAGAGATATTTAATAAGGGGGCATTGTCTATGTTTCATCGGCCCTGCAGGAAATGCACACACATACCTCATCGCACACCTAATTTGCTCCAATAAGAACGATAAATTTCCTTTAAAAATTTGATATATATTTGACATATATCACTAAACTTTTTAAATTCATTTTTTTCCCTCACTGTTACGTCTCAATTGTCTTTTTTCTGCAATTTTTCAATACATATAGAACTTATCACACTGCATTTTCACAAAATCGCAGCATGCATGTAGTATCGCGAATCTTTGATTCACAGCTCAGAAAACCTGTTTTCTTTTGAGAATGAAAATGGTTGTTATTGCTGAATCAAGCTCGTAAAGTTTTAAAAATAAATATTCCACTTTTGTAGAGAAAACGTTTACGGTATAACTGCCATGTGTTCTGAACATGAAATTACCAATGCTAGTACACTGTCGAGAATAACGAGTATACACAATAATTTTTATTTTCAAATTTATTTTTGTTTCAATAAATAAATAAACAATAAATAAACATAATATTTGAAAGACTAGTAGTATCAACTCGATATGAGCTTGATTTTTGATGCATGAAACAATTAATTTACATGATGTGAGAATTGCGTCAACATTTCATGAAACCGAGTGCTGCCCTCCCAGGACAAAGACAATCTTTTGGTCTTGCTCTGTAGTATTTAAATAGGCGAACACTTAGTAACAATAAAATAATAGTAAATATGTACTTTGGCTTTTTACAACACACTTTTTGGTCTAAAATGCAATGGATAATTTAGCTACTGAACACAGATTCCTTTGTCAAGGAACGCTAAACAGGAGTTCGGATATAACCAGAATCATTCAACAGCAGTTACATGTGAAATCATCAACATACGTGCTCTTTCAACAGTAAATGTACATGTATGGACATTTTTTGTCTTTGATTTCAAATTTCACTCAAACAAATTAACTAGACATTCTCACTCTCGTATACAATAAATACTTTTGCTCGTCAATAAATACAATTGTTCTACACACACACGTACACCATAGTCATTTCAAAATTATATCAAATATCACTTTTATAACATGTAAACAAAATGGTCGCAGGTCTTCCCACGTATATGAATCGTTCATGTTTTGTGTAATATTCACAATGTAAATGGATTGTTGGCAAGCTACGGACGGGTATATTGTTTTTAATCTCTGTATAATACTGGATTTATATTTTTCCTTGAAAACAAACATTTCTACAAATCCCGCAAAATAGCACACACATTGACACCATTTTTTGGCAAAATGGTTGCCCCTTCCACGCACTGAATAGGAATTTCTTGACTGGCAGAGGGAATGAAGGAATACTTTTTTAGCATGCGAATGATTGTCATTTTTCCTTCCAGCTGCGCCAGTCGGAGTCCTACACAAGTCCTTGGACCACTCCCAAATGGCATCCACGCCAGAGGGTGTCTCTCAGATTTTCTCTGTTCAGTAAATCTGAAGAAAAGACGGGACTTTTGAAAGAAGCGCAAATATTTTAATTTCGGTTTGAAAATGTTCGAAGAATACGATAGTTATCTCCCGTAACACATGAGATAAATTTCAACTCACCTCTCAGGTATAAATTTATCTGTGTCTTCGATCCAATGCTCCTTGTTGTAATGAACGCTCCACACATTGGCCTGGACCAGCATGCCTTTTGGGATATCAATTCCATTGACAGTACAACTTTCCATGCACTGACGAGCAACGACACTGGAAAAACAATTTTAAAAATCATAAGAAACACAATTTATAATTTCAGAACAAGTATTTGATTTAGATATTTAGTACAAATAATAATGATTCATAAAACTTACGTGCTAGCCAGCGGGTATTTTCGTAATGTCTCGCACCAAACCATATCTAGATATTCCATTTTTTGGATCTGGTCATAGCTCGGATTATCTGCCTGAAATATTATTTACATATATTTAAGAAATATTTTCATTTTAAAATACATAAGGAAATATGATTGTAAAATGGTACCAAGTACTAACAGTTTATTTAAAACTTACATTATCGGGAAAATGTTCATCAATTTCTTCTTGAAGTTTCTTTTGAGCCTCGGGGTTGACCGACATTTCGAACATGATGTATGCAAGGGTTGTACTTGTGGTTTCGTATCCAGCCAACAAGAAAAGCAGGCATTGGGCTACGAGTTCTTCGTTGGTCAGCAGCCGCCGCTTGACCACATTGTCTTTCTGGTCAACATCCCCAACATCAATTTCATTTTTTTCAGGGTTATATTCTGAAGTAACCATGAGTTCCAATAGGTTTGATTTCGAGGGCTGAAATGAAATAGGTGAAAGTGTGTACTTAAAATTTTGAAACAATGCTACAGTAAAGTGGTATGAATAACAGAGATATACTTTTAAATAAAGGTTTATATTGGATAATCTTACCTTCTGCTTTTTCTGTTTTTGTACTATTTTTCTCATTGCATCCTCTAACCAGAAAACCGGGTTAAATGCAATAAGACCCAAGAAATGGTAAATACCAATCCAGAGACGATGGAGGGCGGGAAATATAACTAAAATTAAAACAAACACAAATAATTATTTTTTTTCACACCATTTTAATATTGCTATAATGGTGGTGGGATGGCACAGTCTCATACCAAAAAGGTAAACTTAAATACGTACATCCGAGCATGAAGAGAATCGGTCGTTTTGTGGTATCCCGTATCACCCCTCGGCAATTCTTCATGCATTTATCATCTTTATTTATGAGAGCATCTGTGTTCATACCAAAGCCACAATCGGCGATGGTGTCCAGTGTTAACCTCTGGAAAAGCCTAAAATAAGACGACAGAAAAATTTGTTAAAATGCAATATTTCTCACGACAGAGGTAGAAAAGAAGAAGGAAATCGATCATTGTTTTAAAACGCTGACGTATATTTGCCATTCCAGCGTGATTTTTCACTCACGAAATGTAAACAGGTACCCGATGATCATATTTTCGTGATAGAACTCATATACTTTCATTGATAAACGCGACCCACAAGCCGCGATATTTGGGAGGAGTGACTACTTACTCATAACTGTCGAAGCTCCTCTCATTGGTGTTGTGGTCATGGATAATGTCTAATAGTTGGTCAATTCTATGATTTATTAGAGGTGTCATCTGTCGATAAAAAAAATTAAAATATGATCAAATTAAATATGTAATCATGATGGTACTCATTGATTGGGACTTTCTATGAAACATAACAGCAGGCTCCGAGTGTTTACTTTGACAAATATTGACATTGGAAGGGTTTCACTCAGTTGGTGTGCCTTTTGTATTTTTTTCTTAATTTAGAAACTCTACCGTCAATAGAACAAATCAAATCCACCTACGACTTAAAAATGATAGCGATTACCCGATCGATATCAAGAATAATGGGTCATCAAAAATAAGACGATTAGCCATTATCAAATTCCAATAAAACATCCCAATAAAACATTTAATACTTTAATTCCGTTTTCTTCATTTGGTAATTTGCTTTTAATAAATGTTCTTTACGATATTGATTGTAAAAATACATAGTTATTTACCGTTCTCATTTTTGTAGAACTAAATGCTGGGTTTACAATGGACCGCAATCTTCTCCATCTTTCTCCTCTTGCAAAAAACATGTGAACATTTTCATCGCTGTCTGGATCAACTTGAACGGGAAAAACCTGGATAAATGTAAAACTGGAATTATATTGATGCTTGATCTATTAAATCTATTTTAAATATTGTGCAATGTCCGCCCCCACTGGGCGGTGAAGATGATGATTTTTTTTGACACTCTGAATTTCCTTATCTGCCAATTTTCAAAAGGTTCATTCATGATTCTTTTATTTTAGCACACCAGATATAAAAAGATTGGTCGTGCCCATTTACTTTGTGCAAGAAGTAAGACAATCACGCCAATATATCGGAATAGATATTCAGGGATATAATTAATACACAGCTTAAGAGTTTTGATTAAAAGCGGAAATTTCACGGTTAAATTTATCTTCCTACTAGCATTCTTGAATTATGCAAATATGTTCTGACATGGTCTTGATAAAATACTTCATGTGGTAGCTGGGTCTAAGAGACGGCTAATGATAGAGCAATTATTACATATTAAAGGTGCCAATTCAAACCCTGAACTCTTTTAACACTTAGGGTATATACATTTTTTTTTACCTTTCTTGCATGGAACTTCTTGAACTGTTTTATAAACACCTGCTGTAGAAGATCAACATCAGCTGTTACTAAGACTGGTGTTGGCCCCTCAAAATACCTAGATAAATTTAAAATATATATAAATTTATATATATATATATATATATATATATATATATATATATATATATATATATATATATATATATATATATATATCTCCTGATGCTTATATTTAATCAGAACTTTAAAAAACATGAAATCATTCATTGTAATTAATTACTTTATATTACTTACCCAAAAGTTTTTCCATAGTCTTTATACCATTCTTGGAATTTCTTGTACAATGGCTACAATAAATTATTGCAATACTCAAACAACTAAATAAACAGCATGTAAATTTGGTGCATCGTCAAATAAGTAAAAAAAATCAAAGAATATGTCTAAAATATCTTAAAACATACCATTTTCCAAAATGAGAGTAAATTTCCAAACAAGAAATTTGGTTTGGGACCCGGTATATTCATTTTTTCAAATATTTGCATTTTTTCTTTTCTTTGTCTGAAAACAAAAAGAAAAATATGTTTCAAATGGATACTATGACATGATCGTAAAAACAAAAATGTGAAATGCATTTCAAATATAACTACATTATTCATCTCAAGCAAAATATAAACATATTAATTAGCATTTAAATTGGAAAATTATGCCATGTACACCAATTGTAGATATTTCAGCTACAAAATTCAATGCAACTTTGACATCTATTTCGTAGTACGGTCGTAGTAAAACTAATTCATTCATAGGTTATGTACTGACTACTGAATAATGACAGCTTGTGTTAATCAATGCACACGATTGCAGGGTTTAAAAAATACATTCAATTTACATACCTGTAAAAGTATATTAAACATATCACCAAAACAACTAAAAGCACGTGCGTTATCATATTGTCTGTAAATTCCTAGTTTGTAGCACAAGTGTTGTAACTTTGAGTGACTCTACCTGGATATTCGCCTCTATTTGTTTGGTCGACAGTCCTACAGACTAGCCAATCAAATCACGATATTTTCTTCATATAAAAAGGAACATAGAAAGAGGTGTTGCTAATGCTGCGCGTGGTCATAATTCCTTTGACCATTGATTTTTCGATCCCAATGAAGTTTGGATCGCTGATTGTTTCCATTTATGACGTTTTTATTCTAATCATTCACCCGGAGTATTTGTGGACTTGTATACGTTTTTAGCGTGTACCTACTCAACGAAGCATGTGACGACTATAGACAAAGGCGTATATGCATTGAAAGGCTGGCAATATTATTAGCATGGACTGCTCTAAACCTTAATATCTGTGTCTGTATAATTTCTAAACATGGACTTTACTTTGTTGTTTTATTATGGGGATATTTTCGGTCATCATTTGTAAGGTAATAAATCTTTTCTAAACCGCAGTATATTTAGTTTATGCTTATTCTTGTGAATATAATCTCTTGTTGATCACACGTGTCCTGGATGGTAATTTGAGTCAGGATAACGATTATATCTCCATAATTTTACAATCTACTACAATGTACCTTGTCGACATACCTTTCTAAGAAGTCAAGGTCATTTTGAATTCGTATGGATGAAAAATGTGGAACTGAATTTTATTCAGTGTACAATTTTCAGTATATGTTTTGTGATGGTTAAGATGAAATATCTATCAAATAACAAAGTTTCCGATTTTAATAACAGTAAGCAATCAAGAGAGAGAGAGAGAAAAAAAAATCATGACTAGGAGCATTCATAATTCCAAACAGTTAACCACAGAAAAATGTATCATTTTAAATCTCGACTTGACAATATAATCCTTTACACTTAACAACAAGGGTCATTTTCATTCAGTACTGTGCTTATACCCGGAAATCTACCTGGCACTTTAAAAAATGAGGCATTTTGGACGAATACATTGCACGACGTGGACAAGACTAGTCAATAATCACTTATCGATCAATAACATTTCATCTCTCCTACATTCAAGGACGCAAGGGAAACACCTCATTAGCTTAATAACTGAATGATAAAACATATCATCGACAGATTTCGCTTTCTCGGTAGATGAATTATAATAATTGTCTTCTATTGTTCTGTAAGTGTTAATTCTAATATGGCAATTCAAATTGAAAGAAGTCAATAAACATTCGGTTGAATGTGCATTTTAGATAATGTTCTCTTCAAAACACACTGATGTAAACAAGTAAAAGATCATATAGTAGCTTTTATTTTTATGTCTAGACATAAGTTGTTAATTTTTGCCACAAAATGGTTTATCAACACAATTCCATTTAATACATGAAACCTGAGCGTAATTGTTATGTACATGGAGTTGACGACACAATGTACACACGTGTTAGATTTATTCATTATAAAATTACTAAAATTGATTTCCTTTACATGTAAATTCATTCACTTATTTGAGATTTGATTGAAACACACTATATTTAGTTTACAAAATAAGTGTCATTATCTTTTTATGATAGCAAGTCTGCGAAGTGTGAATTTAGCCAAGTAAAAATATATATATATATATATGCTAAAAAATCATGTATTTTTTAAATTCGAAAATAGGCCCTAGTGTTTTAATCCCGCTATATAGCACATCTACGAAGTGTGATTCATCAAATTTCGCTTGTCAATGATTTTTTTTTTTTGGTTCTGTGGATTTTTTTCCTCTCTAAAACCTGAAAATGAGAAAAAGAAACACCTGGTAAACCTTTACAATTATTTGAAATGACTTTTTACACATAATGTCTTAATGATTAAGAAATCAAATTTTATATATATATAAAAAATAATTAGACCTTGACTTCACAGGGAGAAACATTGGGAGAGTTGAAGATTATTTGGGGAAGTGAAAAATTTCCTGGAGAGGTCGTATCTTGAAATGATTTAAGAAAGATTGTAAAACTGCACACCGGATCTACATTTTTTCATACCTGTTACAAGCGTAATACAAAATGAACGTACGACCTAGAGAGGAAATGTTTACTAATTATATAATTTATGTTGACATTTCAAACACAAGTAATACTGATCTAATACTTCATTAACACTTAAAAAAGATATACTGAAATGTAAGTATCTGTATGCGTCAAAAAAGGCATTTGTGCCAAAATATCGTTTACTTTAAGCACAGGGTAATGATCTAAGGAAATATTTAATGGCAAGTTTCACAATGTATCGGACTATTATGAACTGTCTCTCATAGTCTCAATAGAAACCGATTTTTTTAACGTCTTAGAGAACAAATATCTTTTCAGAATATGTTGGGAACACGATTAAGACCCCCCCCCCCAAAAAAAAAAAAACAACCCTCGCTGTTTGCTTTTTGAAAGCCTTCTAAAAGTCCTAGATACCCTATCAGAATGGAATTTGCTTAATTTAGTTTTGATTTTCTGTATATGTAAACGAAATCGACCTTAAAGAACGAGGGCGCTTTTGATTTGGATTCGGCAAGTAGTTAAAGTTGAAAATTTCGTTACACTGTATAACATATGAGATGACCTGCTTTATTTCCCATCGTCAACTGCCTTATTTATGTAGTAATATTCCGCTTTCATCTGTATATGGTATTTATGTCTTCCAACTTACATGTACATGTATTCCATAATCAAGAGCATGCCATGAGAACTAACAATTTTTAAATCGAGGCAGCCTACTGACAAAAACCCTCCTGTTAAGTCAGTATTTCGTTAATTTCATGGTCGTTATGATACAACATATCATTAGGTCGTATTTTGACTGACATATTTCATACCATTTGTCAGGCCTTATGCAATACTAAATTTGACTATGGAAAATTCCGTCTACCTGATCAATACATAAGGCTCTCGGTGGGTGTGACTGGTTGAAGGGGGATGCTTAGTCCTACTAGGTACCTGCTGGAATTTATAAAGGGTCCGTGTTTATGACCTTTTCACAGATTTGTATTGTAGGTTTTTTGAGATCGAACACTTGTCTTAACATCACCTTTTTCATTGATCCGACTCATAATATTTTGCTTTCGATTGACGAGTTGGGTTCTTCTGTTGCAGGAAGGGGAAATATTTTCCCAACTTGTGTTTTGTTTTGCTAAAATGTGCCTTGAAATATGGCTAAACGAGTCATGACCCCCCTCTTTCCAATGCTGTTTAAAAACTGAAATAGAGAACGTAACGACGATATCACAGTGGTATCTGATACCTTTCCATGATGACGTATAGGTCACGGTATCCTAGTGGTAGGACGCTCGCTTCGAGATCGGGAGATCCGGATTCGATTCTCGTTCGCCGCGCCGCGTCAAACCTTAAAGACGAAAACATAGGTACATTTAGTGACTGTTCCTTCGCCAAGCGCCCGGCACTACGTAGAAGTGAAAATCACGGTTCTTTCTGATGAAACCTTAAAAACCGATGTCCTGTTTCACGGTAGACGTTGATACGATAAAGAACTCTCACTGCTTAATGGTCATGAGTGCCGAGTTTGAAGCCCCTAACCGGCATAGTGATATCTCTCTATGAGTGAAAAATTCTCAAATGGGACATTAAACGACATACGATCAATCGATCAATCCATGACAACGAGGAATCGATGAGTTTTTATTCGATCCTCGCTTGGAGCGTTTATTATTTTTTTTTAATTTTAAAAAGACATTTATCAGTTTGATTTTATTTCCCGAATTTTAAAAAAGAATTTTGAAATAAAGTTAAATTTTGATTCTGTTGCATTGGAAGAAAAAGCAGTTCTTCCCATTCATTGAAATTTTAATATGTTTGCAGTTAACCCTATTATCTCATAGCTGTTTATTAATTGAGTGAAACTTTATAACCTATGTTATCAAAATTGTTAAGATTGGCAGAGTTAAATATTTCATTTTTTCGACAAGGTATTTCAATGATAATAATGTTACATTTTCCTATCTGTGTAGCTTTCTTAAAGTCTGTCACCGGTCAAGGTAGCATTGTGGTAGGGCGTTCGCTTAGTGATCGGGAGACCCGTGTTCAATTCTCGTTTGCCGTACAGCTTCAAAACCTAAGACAGTTCCTTCGCCAAGCGCCCGACATTAGAAGTAAAAGCCATGAGTATTTCGGAAGAGACCTTAAAGACTGAGGACCTGTGTCACGGTACATGTAGGTGTTTGCACGATAAAGAATCCGCACTGCTCACTGGCCCCTAGTGCAAAGTATAGATTTAAATTTGAAGCCCTTTACCTGTATATGGTGACATCTCTTTTTAAGTGAAAAACTCTCGAATGGGACATACAACGACATGCATTCAATTAATCAATTTTAAAGCGTGTCCAGCTGTGGTTTGTCGACAAAATCGTCTACTTGACTGGACATTTAAAGTAAAAATGATTCGTACAAATGATTCCTGAAGATTAAATTCCAGATACGCCAATCTTCTTTTCCTGTCTCGATAAAGCATATAACATGACTTTAAGGCGAGCGGGAGGAATTCTAACTTAAAAAAAAACAGTTCCTTAAACAAACCATATTTTGACGAAATTTCGGACGCCACACATGTACATAAATATACACAGGGAGAGACAAAAAGAGAGAGAATAAATAAAACTTTAAAAAGTGCAAGTTTGTCAGTATCTAAAGTTCTTCACCTTTGACAATAAAGATTGATAGATGTGAGATGTTTCATGAAGTGAAAAGAAATATAACGTACGAGGTTATATTATAGTCAATACTGCAATACTTCTAGTGTTCAGCAGACGGTTAGACTATATCAGGGATTGTATCAGACATTCTGGTGTTTCTTTCATTTGTGTATACATCAGTTTTGAACATCATTTCCTTCTTTTTGATTTTCAGGATGGCAGTACCCCGCGTCGGATCTGTTTGTGAAATTCTTTTTAATACTTGCATTTACGATACCATTATACCAGTATATATGGAGAAATAAATCTGACTTTCTAATACGCATATTTCCGCCATATAAATTTTCCGAAACAACAAAAGAATACTATATGGTATATACGGTTATCGTTAAACCTGAACCCAGTCCAAGTTACCATGGTCGGATTTTCTCCTACTCCCCGTTTCAGAAAGAAAAATACATGTATAAAAATAGTCAATATCAACGCAAAATTTGGCCTGCCATTTTTAATTACACATCTGAATGTCGTTTCCTATTATATCAAAATAGCTACAGAGGTTAGAATTTAAAGCATTTTACTTCCAAACTGGCCAAGTTTCATTAATGTAAGCCATGTTTTCATGGTGAGCCATGTTTTCA